ACCTGAGACTTGGCAGGGGGCCGGAGTACTTCATAAGAAATAAGTGGAAATAGTACATTTGGCATAGTCTGTTCAATCTGATTTGGATGATTATGTTGGTTTATGCTTCATCACAATGAACAGAAAGTAGATGTAAACAGGACTAAAGCAAATAGAATCCACAGAACATTGACGATCAGATTCCAGGTCTTCGGTACTTGAAGTCTTAGCTAAAACAATGAAATTAAATACAAATTTTGGTGCATTAAAATATCTGCCGAAGGGGAGCACTATTATTTCGGAGGTTGTCCATTTTTTTTTCAACCATAAAATTTCTCTTTCAGTAATCAGATGTCAGGGAATAAAGGTTGCTTCTCCGTTGGGACGGTTGGAGTGATGGGTTCTAGCTCTCTCTAACGGGCGCAAGAGAGTCCACTGATTGAGCCTAGCTCTCTCTAGCAGGCACAATAGAGTCCACTGATTGAGCGTAGCTCTCTCTAACAGGCACAACAGAGTCCACTGATTGAGCGTGCTCTCTCTAACGTACGTAACAGAGTCCATTGAGTATTGTTGTAAGAGGTTGCCAGCCTTTCGGCAGTAATTTTTACTACATATTTAGGGTACAAGTGAAGAAGGGAAAGTGTTACCAGCGTCTGACACCTAAGAAATCGTAACTGAGAAGTCCTCAGTTTAACTTGTCATTTAAGTACGCAGGACACACAGGGCAAATAGGACATAGGAACAGCAAAATGCTCGGAAAGTCTAGGGGAAACAGACTACTAAGGAGACCTAGGCGTAGGTGGAAGTGAAATATTATAATGGATCTTAATGAAATAGATGTGGACTGGGTTTTTCTAGCCCGCGATTCACGCGACTGGCGGGCTTCTGTGAGCGGGCCCCTTTACTAGACGGATAATTTATTGACTAGCTTCTCAAGAAGGATTCTGCTTCATGGAAGCATGAGCACCTGACCCATAGATCGGTTGGCGGCCTGGTGCTTAATTGATTGAGGCATAGGGACCAATTTACCTTACATTGCATGTGTTTAGACGTATGATGTTGTAATTGTGTTTGGTCAGGAGCGTCTCCAGAACTACACGGACGTCGATCTGTCATTCATGTACGATTACGTGCGACAACGATACAATTTCACGGATTATCAAGACGTCACTGCTTTCGGTGCAACTTTGAGGTTCACGCTTCACACCGGCATCGCTTGTAACATGCATCTGGGCTCGCCCCAGATACAGGACTTCCTGAGGTAAGTAACAGCACTCCATGTCAAAGAGTAGAATTGTGCCAATTATGCTAATTAACTAAGCAGTCTGCCTGCCATGAAGACGCATTTGGGGGTGAAGGTATAACTCTACTTTTCTTGACCTCGGCACTAGATAGAGGTGAGTGGTCAGCTTCAAGCCGCTGCCGCTTTATCCCCGGGGAAAGTGCCGCCGCGTCAATTGGATAGGAACGTGGGTGAGCCCCAGGGTCGGTCTGGACGCTGCAGAGAAGAGAAAAACATTGCACTGCACAGAATAGAAACCGGATTGTCCAACCCGTGGCCTGTCGCTAAACTGACTGAGCTATTCATATTCCCGGGTAATATTAAAATTGATCTATAAGTTATATGATGACAGGGTGTGGACTGGATTTATCAGGTTCCCATTTCACATTAAAAATAGATTCAATTGTAGTATAAAATTACTAACTAAAGAAGTGTGTACGATAAGTGTGCTCAGAGTTGTGAACACGGTAATGAACCTCCAGGTTCTATCTGAACAGCTCTTCGCTTCCAAAGCAAAACTCTGCTCCATGGATTTAGAAAATTAGTTTGTTAATTACTAAGCAGGGGATCTAAGTTTGCACAGGTTGGTCGTAACCGTTAAATCGGTACAAATGCTTGAATAAGCACGTGGAATATAGTCTGAGAGCATCAAGTGAATTTTCATTACACATGTTTTTATTGGATAACTGTTCAGTAACTGGGGGGAACGTGGTAGCGTAGTTAGTTGAGGGGCTATGCTACAAGCCGGAAGGTCGCGGGTTCAAGTCCCGATGAAGTCATTGGATTTTTTTTCAATTAACCTAATTCTTCCGGCCGCACTATGGCCTTGGGGTCGACTCAGCCTGTAACAGAATTGAGTACCAGGATTTAACTAAATAATTTTCTTGTGGAGTAAAGCGCGGCTGACAACCTTACCGCCATCTTTGAGCCGATTGTCTAGATAATGTGGGACCCTCAACGTCTCACTACCCTATGGGCCTTCACAGCCTGTTACAGGGATAGTTTTACTTTTACTTTACTTAACTGTTCAGTAACTAAGTGACTGACTGACTAATTATGGAGCAAGCTCAGCTATTCTCTGTCAAGGAAGAGAAGGCGAGGCATTTAAGAAAGGCTCGCATGTGTGCACTGTGCAAGTAAATGGATCGGTATGTTTTGGCAATAACATCTGGAGGAAAGAGACCACGTGGGAGACGTAGACTAAGAAGGAAGAACGACATTAAATGGATCTCAAAGGATGGGGTGTTGGCTGGATTCATCTGGCTCACGGTAAGATCCAGTGGCACCCTCTTGTGGAATATAGCGCTGACCCTTCGGTTTCCATAAAAGGGAAACTTTAGGCTGAGGGACTACTGGCTTCTGAAAAAGAAAATATTTGCTTCAAGAAGGTAATTAGAAAATATTTAATTTCTTGAACCGTGTGTTCAGTAACTGTAAATAGACATGACTCAGTGGTGCTCAATGCGAATAATTTAAAGAACGGTAGATATACTCGTATTCTACGAAAGCAATTTGTTTTCTTCAAGTCTTCCAGCCGAACTAAGGGTCTGGGATCAACTCAACCTCTTAACAGAAGTGAGTACCAGATATCTTCCTGGGGGGTAAAGGGCGGCCAGGCTGACAACCTCATCGCCTTCTGTGAGTCGATTGTCTTGAAAAATGTGGGAAACTCGACATCTCATAACCCGTGTGCCTCCACGGCCTCTTACAGTGATAGCTATATTTTTCTTTACCAAGGGTTCTATCTTCTGGATGTGGCGCCATTGGCCCATTTAAAGGCATTCAACATTTCGGAGGAACATGTCGCCGCCAAGCGAGAAACTGGTTTCTTGCTTGTCCCACTCTTCGACCCTGAACATGTGTGCAATGTGTCCCTCTGAAGGGCCTGTCAACTTTCAACGAACTTCATGGCCTTTTGTGACAGAAGATACAACTCATCATCACCACCGCTATGATAATCTCTAATCCTACACTGTTTTCTTAAGTTCTGTTGTTAATTATTCCAGGGTTCACCAAGGTTCCAACAGAAGTTTCGATCTTGTTTTCATGGAAATGAGTAGATACCAATGTTACTACGGTCTGGTACATCACGTGGGGTCTCCTCCCGTCATTGGCATTCGGTCTGTTGGCGTCACTGCTGTTACACTGGCTGCCGTGGGGAATCCCAATAACCCTGCTTATGTCCCGGACTACTACCTACCTTTCAGCAGCAGTATGGGCTTATTGGAACGAATCCACAACACCGCATATTACGTTTGGAACAGGTATCTGACAGACTGCTCTTAGGCGTGAGACTTTTCCGTCAATTTACAGATCTACAATAGCCAAGAGTCCCTCCCCAGCTGTTCCTTCTAAGACTCGTATTAGATTGCTGTATGTTTCGATTCTGAGCTGCGAGAAACTACTATTGAAAGTTCTATTCATTAAAGTGACATCTGCAGGAGAGAAATGCACTTATTTTCACAGCAGCAATAACTGATCACAGGGGCATATGGTAGCGTGGTTGGTTGAGCACTATGCTACAAGCTGGGAGGTCACGGGTTCGAATCCCGATGAGGTGGATTATTTTCAATTTACCTAATCCTTCCAGCCGCACTATGGCCCCAGGGTCGACTACACTTTTAACAGAAATGAGTGCCAGGAAACTTCCCTGGGGGTAAAGGGCTGCCGGCGCGTAGGGCTGACAACCTCATCGCTATCTGTGAGCCGATTGTCTAGAGAAAATGTGGGAGCCTCGACTTCTCACAACCTTATGGGACTTAACGGTCTGTTACAAGGGAGGTTTTACCCTTTTACCTCAGTAGCTGCTCATTTGACAGAACTAGCATTGGCCTGAGGAAAAATTTATTTGGCCAAGTTGTGGGGTGGCACTGAATTGCTAGTGGGGTGGGACTAAGTCCCTTGTACTACGGCCACTTCTGCCCTATTGTACCAGCCCCAGATGATAGGTAAGGGGGTTTGTGGAGCAATTGGTGGAATGAAGATTGGCTGGGGAAACCGAAGTACTCGGAGAAAACCTGCCCCAGCGCCACTTTGTCCACCACAAATCTCACTTGACCAGACCCGGGATCGAACCCGGGCCGCCGCGGTGGGAAGCCAGCGACTAACCGCTTGAGCTATGGCGCGGCCCATTGGTATAGATGCTTAGCACTGTACAGTAGGACGTTTCCTTGTTCTGTTCCCCAAATATTTCTGGTTTTTTGACCAGGTTCCTGTTCCACACAGTGCAGATGCCGGCCAGCGAATTGGTCATGCGCTATTACTTCGGTCGTGGTCCACCTTCTGTCTGGGAGGCTGAGAACAACGTAAGTCTCGTGATGGTCAACAATCACTGGAGTCAAAGCTACGTTCTACCTCTGCTGCCCTCTGTCGTACAGCTCGGAAGCATCCATATGCAGGAGAAACCCAGACCGCTTCCTGAGGTCAGTTCAAGAGATGCAAACATGCACAAAATGGACGCAGGCTTTACCTCACGCTACTCTGAACTTCACTGCCTAGACAACTTTGAAACATGCCCCATGGATCAATCCCCTACCCGTCTTCCTAAAACCGTTACCCGTCCTCGGCAGCCAATTTCCCTTTAGCAAGTTCAACACTCACACTTCTACCAAGGCTCCAAACCATGTCGAGTTCAGTGCCTGGGAAAGAAGCCCAATGAATTTACATCATCCGCTTCCGGCTGTTACGCCATCCCCTCCAACGTGCACTCCGGGTTACCCACTAGATGTTCTTCCATCCTGTTTACACGATTGTTAGAAGTGATGAGCATATAACAACCTTCGCTAGCGAGAAGCTCCTTTGGGTTGTTAGCATAGGACAAAGGAGCTGGAGGGGAATAAAACAGTAGGCATAAAGGGGAAACCTGGTGTATTATTGCCTCACCATCCTTGGGACTTCTCTCTATGGCTTCGGTAGTCACTGAAGTGCCATGCATATATATGTTTATTTGTGCAGGTGTGTGTCGTCTGTATGAATCATATGTTTACTGAAATATGAAAATTACGGTCTTCTTAATTCTGACGTCTTGCAGTTATGTGGACAGGTACTAACCTGTCGGAGGAACCTGCTTTATCCTACTTCAGATTATCCTGAAGATGGATTATGCATATTTCTCCAAAAGTGTCAGTACGATCTATCAGACTACATGGCGGCACATCCTAGGGGGCTGAAGTTTTCATCATGGCCGCCATGAGATCTTTTTACAATCATGTGCAGCTGACAACTCGTCTTCACTTATAGCCAAGGCATATAATGCGTGATAAGTGTATCCTCAGTAGACGTTTATGCTTGTATCATTGTGCTTAGAGACGTCTTGACCTTTATCTGTACATACCGAAAGCAAGGCGAGTGCTCAACCACTTGACAAACCTGACTGAATTATTGCTTTCTGGGAAGGACCTGAAGAAGTTTCTGGACGGCGGTACCAAGGGCGTAATTTACTTTAGCCTCGGCAGCAACGTGAGAAGTGAGACCATGACAGAGGAAAAGAAGCAGGCTTTCATGTCCACCTTTGCAGAGCTTCCACAGCGCGTCCTCTGGAAGTGGGAAACGAACGCCATGTCGGAGGTGCCCAAGAACGTGAAACTGGTGAAATGGCTCCCGCAACAGGAAGTTTTGGGTGAGCCAGCCGCAGCAATTAGCCTATCCCCATTTGGGGTTATGGGAAGGGTACAGGATTTAAGAGGTCCTAAGATATGAGGCACAGTGCTGTCCACGGTCTGCAGTGAAGGTATCTGTTTATTCCCTTCTGTCTTTTACAGGTGTCCCAGGAGGAAAGGTCAATACTCTGGGAGGTCATATTATCTGTTATTCTAAGCAAAAATTGTACATTTACAAGCGTCTTTTTCCAAATCTTCCCGAGGTGAAGCTATTTCACTGTAGAGTATACTATATACTGCAGAGACGAGCAACATGCCATGTCCTCACATGAGTTGCTAAGTGCATTGATGTTGACAGTGGAATTGTACAAGTTTTATACTTGTAAACTGTACCAACTTTGCCACTTGAACAATAAATATTGTAATGCTTCGATGGCAGGGGTGGGTAAAAACAACTACTAATTCATTTTGTCATCCATCTCCGTTGGCTAAATCCCGCCGCTGCCACCAATTTGTTGTGCCTGAAAGGGGGGGCTAATGAAATAATACTAAATTACTCAGTCGCCATCCTTTTGTTGGCTGACCCCTCCGCCACTGGCACCACTTTGTAATGGCGCAAAGCGGGCGTGTAGGTTCTAACCCGTCTCTACCCATCAACTTTCACGCCCCAAGGATTGGGGTGTCGTTACAGATCTCTTCAGGTTCTCCACACCCTATCGGCTCGTTGCATACCGTTGCCATTGGCTGCCTGAGGTCAGTTCTGCCTTCACCTGGACTGGATAGCTCCGGATTGGTCTGGGGAGGGTTAGTGCTTGGGGGGTGAGTCAAACTCTGGTACAACCTATCCTAACTACTTCGGTCTATTTACACTCGTATTTACAATACAGAATTGCCGACGTTCTGTCGGGTTTACATAATATCGGTCCGATAACTCGCTCTTACATTCATTCTAATCTCTCACCTAGAACGGATGGCTTGAGACTGTCACTTCCCTTCATTTCCTACCACTCGATGCACCATCTCTGTCATACCCTATGTACACAGATCTATTTCCACTTCAGTTTACCTCCTATTTACAGTAATAACAATGCCGACTTTCAGTCGGGACTACATAGTGTATTTGCTTTACCAGGCCATGACTTCATTGTGATCTCCCCTTCTAGGGTGTCTGAATCTGGTCTGTCTCTCTTTGCTTCTCCTTCATTTCACCTTTAAATATTCTGCTCCTAAAACTATAAATACTAAAAGCTTAAGTATGTTTATCACAAAATCAATAGTCACAACAATAAACAACAAATATGCGTGCTCCGCATACTACCAGTAAATCATAATACGCAATACAACAACGACCATATTTACCACATTGGCAACCTCGGCCATTACTCGTTACAATAATTCTCCTATCCTACCCTAGGGCTCGAAGAGCACACTGCAGATTGCTTTTCAACATTTCACAACAATTAATTTGAGTTATTACGTCGTGGTGACAGGGGGCGTGGAGGTATCCCTCATTGCCACATCTTACTCTGCAAGGAGTTAACACAATAATCCTAGCTTACCCTCAGCTAGGATTCTCCTGGTTCAGGACTTCCTTCGTCACATAAAGCTGTCACCATCTTATTATATCTTAACTGGGGTGATGAAAATCTAAGGGCCGGGTAGCGCGGTGGTCAAGCGTTCTCTGTTGACTGGCCCTTTCATCACTGTCACCTCTTATTATTGGCGTAGAGCGGGCGTGTCAGGTCTGACCCGCCTCTACCCATCGACTGTCCCACCCTATATTACCCTCTACGACAGGGGTGGATTGGATATCTCACCGCTGTCGCCAATTTTGTCTTAGTGACGGGGGTGGGTGGAGGTCGCCCGCCACTCTTACCACTTATTACGTCTTAAGGGGGCGTTGATATAAGGGTTACTAAGCGCTGCCTGCGTGACAGGTGCCTATCCCTGTCCATTCCTAGTACCTCCCCTTAACTGTCGCTGCGTTCGGCTGCTGCTGCCTTTCGTTTTGGTAGGATCCTCGGGATCGGTCGTGGGAGGTTGATTATGGAGGTGTGAATCACAATCCCGGCACATCCTACTCTAACTACTCTGTCTATTTACACTCTTATTTACAATATTTACATTATTAACAACGCAGACTTTCAGTTGGGACTACATAGTGTCTTTACTTTTATGCTATGCTTCCTCATGTTCTCCCCTTCGGGGGTGTAGGCCTTGAGCCTCTCACTCTCTCTGTTTCGACTCCTGAAGCTATGCAATTATTCAGGCTTCGACGTGAACATCTTTCCTGTCTCCATTTCCTACTACTCCTTACATAATTCTGCGCTCTCATAATACTTCACCCTTAAGATATTTTACCCCTAAAGTTATGCATATTAAAAGCCTACATGTAGTTATCACAAAATCCATGGTCGCCACTATGAACAACAAATATGCATGCTCCGCATACTACCAGTAATCATAATACACTATTACGACAACCATGTTTACCACACTAACACTTGCCTGTTACTTGTCACATTATTTTTCTTATTCTACCCTAAGGGCTCGCCGGGCACACTGGAGTTTGCTTTCAACATTTTACCACAACACTTTTATCAATAATAATGTTTAACAGAATGGCTTATATGAGTAAAGAGACTTACTTGCAATAGAAATGTAGATAAATGTCGCCGTCCACCATCTCGTGGCATACATATCGGATAGGGCCTCCGGCTGACAACTGGTTATTACGTTTTAGATCAGATCCCTAAGTCTCCTGAATTCAGTAATTTATATGTTTAACTTGCTGAATCTGCGGTTGACGAAAGAGGGAGGTTAACTGCTCCTTTCGTCCTCAATTTCTGGGTGGAGGGTTTCCATTGGCTACCTTTTGGCTGTGGGTGGGCTCGTGGTCCTCTTTGCTGCTTATTTAATAATATTATCCTTTACTCCAGTGTCCCTCCAACGCGACTTGCAGAAGTGCTATTGCGTATTCTGCTAAATCAGGCATTCTTAACCTAGATTGCCTGTCCAGATGTTGACATACTAATGTAATTGCTGTAAAACGTTTGTCGCAAATCTTGAAACATTTAGGCAATGCATTTTGACTTCTAGTCTCAAAATTGCGGCGCAACATGAGTAACATGGCTAGTATGAACAAACATGACTTACTTGAGATAGAGATGCAGCGACACCATCACTTGTAGAACCCATGTCGAGCAGAGCCTTCGGCTGCTCGTCTAATATTACGATTTCGATCGCTCTCCCAACGTCTCTTTATACTCTAAAACTGCTAACGCAGCGACTTCCCCAAAAGTCAAGCTACCTCCTCCATTTGCCCTAAATTTCTGGGTGGTGGGTTCTCATTGGCCAACCCCTTTTGTCGCGGACGAATCCGCAGCGTCTCGTTGCTGTGTATTTAATAATTTAATTTACTCCAGTGGCCTAGTAAGGCGAGCTTCCTGCCTGTGTGATTACGCATCTTCGCTGACCACAAACATTCCTGACCTAGATCCACAGTCTATGTGTTGCCATCCTTACCCTGATCGTTGTGCAAACTCTTAACAATTGTCGTAACATGGGGCAATGCTTCAATTTTCCGTTTTTTTAAATTTGCGGCATAACAAATATCAATATCAGAAACAGTAAGCAATGACTCTTTCTTATCAACAGTTTTGGAACTGTGCAGTGAAATAACTCTACCTCGGAAATCGTTCGTAATAAGACACATGTACGTACACAATTTTTTTAATGACTGATACTGTGACCTCCCAGAATGTGACCTTTCCTCCTGGGACAACCTGTAAATCCGATTTGGTGAATTTGTCAGTCAGTATGCACTGGTACGCATGCCAGCAAACATTTACTGCGTACTTAACCTTTCAAAAACAGGATTCATTCCTATGATCGTGTGAAAGGAAATGACCTTGCTGAGTTTTGGGCTGCTAAAAGCAGATACTGTCGATCATTGGATCACTGATAATATTTATATAATGAAACAGCCACTGCCACAAACCGTCAGAGAATCACTGTGGCTTTCATAAAAATTATACAGAACTGTTTGAAGTAATTTATCAATTTTATATTTACTGCACATGTGTGTGTGTGTGTGTGTGTGTGTGTGTGAATTTTGATTTGACCGGCCATTTAACACCGTCATTTAAGTTACAAATATAAATTAAATTTTCGTACTGCTGTTGTGATCTCGTGTAATTTGGCGATTAAAGCATTATCTTTCTCTGAATAAAGCAGGACAACAATTAATTGTTAGAGCTGAAACGTAATGTTATGCGCTAGCCTGGTTCCCATGGCCAATTGTATTGCATGAAAGCATATATGCACTCCTAAACCATTTCAGCTTCCATAGATTCTGACACGGACTTGTTACTGTCAGAAGGCTCAGGCGCAGAATTTGAGATGATCACAGCAATGATTAAGAAGAATTCTGTCATCTGGGATACAGCATATTGTAGTCCGTCGAAAATTAAATTTCCGAAAACATGTTGCCTCCATATTATGATACTTAGATCTGTTGCTGGGAGGTGACTGTAAACATCAGCCGTTTCTAGGCGATTCCCACACGCAACAATGGAGGAGGTGTCACGATACATGACGCGTACAACCGTTGCTATGGAGCGCCCACAGCTTACGCGTGCGCGATGACGTCACACAACAATAGAAGAAGTGATGAAGTAGGTGTTTTTTGTAGGTTCACGCCGAGGCTGTGTTTTCTATGATGCGTGGCTCGTACCGCCAGTGTGTAAGGGAGAAAATTTAAAGGAACAAGAGAGTCAGGAGAATGGGAATACAACGCCGTAAAAACGGAGTACAACAAAGAATACGGGAATGAGAATTGAGGTTAGTTGTCGGTTAGAGAGAGCCACGGGAAGTTAATACTGCAGAAGAATTAAAAGTCGGCCTGTGAAGACCTAGTGTGCGATTAGAAGATTTAGTCACAGGAAGACAGTTTGAATTCCGTTACCAGGAGACGACTCGTGAAGGCTGAGAATCCTAGTGCATCTGTAACGGTGAACTGTAAATTGTGTAAATCAGCGATAGCGCTGTACTGATTGTAAGTATGAGTTGATTGTATAAGGTGTTAATAAATCGATTCATTAATCCAAACTCCGTCTGTAGTCGCTAAAACACGTGACAATATTCAGGGTGGAAAAATATGCCAAACAGGATACCAGGGTGAAGCAGGTAGTAAGCAGAGGACACTGTACATGAAGGCGACATATTCCTATGAAACTTGGGACTGTTTTCAACGGACAATATGGCGTCATATCCCAGAAGACAGAACTCTTCAAAATATTAGATTATTTGATCGTAGTTTCAGCCATTTTGAACTAGAGAAGCACGAATGAATGGAGAGCTGACGTTTTCCCGTTTCTGTCTAGCACATCCGAATGTCAAGCTGTTCATAACGCAGGGTGGTCTGCAGAGCTTTCAAGAAGCCACGCATCACGCGGTGCCTGTGATTGGGATTCCCTTTATATGTGATCAGCAGCACAACGTGCGCAAAATGGTGGACGCTGGAATTGGGGTCAAACTGGACTATTCTACCATAACTAAAGACAAACTTGTAAAAGCCATTACGAAAGTTCTTCATGATCCCACGTAAGTACATATATAATTTCTGAAGTATAAAACGTGACCATACAATGAATGTCTTCCTGTAAGATGATAATAAGAGGGAAGTTTTTCATCTTAATACTAATTGAATTGATGTGAAGAACGCTCATTAGGATTATACCTGACTGTACGGAAGATTTGAAATTAAATATCTCTTAACATGAAGTTTTAGAGTGTGTCTATTCAATAGGTGCCGAACGCGGTGGCCGAGCGGTCTAATGCATGAACCGTCTTCGCCCGCTGGAACACTGGAATAGTGGGTTCGAATCCCACTAAAAGTATGCATGTCTGTGTGCAGGTAGCGGTCTTCCTACTGGCTGATTCCCCGTCCAAGGAGTTCTACCTACCATGTATGTACCAAGAAACTGAAAAAGCGGCCAAGGTCCACAAGGTCTGTAGAGCCATAGATAGATGGTTGGATATCAATTAGGTGCTGAGCTACTTAACTTCTTACTGAGAGCGAAGTGCTTAGGAGAATATTTGGACCTGAGAGAGGGGTTGTAACAGGAGGCTGGAGAGAATTTACTATATGAAGAACTTTCTAGCTTCTTGAATACAACCTCGTGTAGTCCGTTGAAAGTCGGCCGACGTTTCGGAGGAACATGTCACCTGCATCTTTAGGGTGCAAGAATAAGCCAAACCAGAAACCAGAGTGAAGCAGTAGCAAGCAGATCCTTTGGCTTTCATAGCACTATATGGCGTTACATCCCACAAGATAGAATTCTTCATAACAACCGCTGTGAGAATCTCGCATTAGTTGCTAAATATTATTACGGTTATTAAATAAAGGGTAATGAATGGGCGCAAAATGTAGCACGTAGATGAGAAAAACATTTAGAATTTTGGCCGGAAAGTTCACGGCCATGAGACACAAACTTAAGGATAAAGAAACTATACAAATCTATTCAGGCACTGATTTCAGTTAAGGTCATTGAAACTGAAGAATAACACAGGTCTGCAAAAATTATTTTTTTTTCAGCTGCATGGAATATTTTTGGTAAAATTGATGTTTTCTAGGATTCTGAATCCAAAAAGACCCCAATTTCCCCCTATCACGTACGGTTTTTTTGGAAAATAATAGGGGTTTACAATAACAAATCATAACAGG